AGCATCATTTCTTGCCAGTTCTCAATCCCCCTCAACAAATGCCCCTCCTCAAATCCATCCCACTATGGTCCAGCCATACAGAACTGCTCTCTGATCTCTCTCTGACTCCAAGGCCTTTGCACATGCTATTTCTCCACTTGAAAGTTGGGAAGTCAATTCTAACTGGACTCTTTCTCATTCCTCATTCCTTTGCTGTTGGTTGTTCTGGGCAAGGGTTCTGTGCCGTTCTTACATGCTCCCATAGCATCCTGACTCTGCCCAAATAATAATTTTAAAAAATTAATTCAAGAGAGATTTACTGAGTACCTGGAACGCACCAAGCCCTTCCTGCCTCAGGCCTTCTCTCACGCTGTTTTTTCCACTTGGCACGTTCATCCTTTTACTCTTCATCTGGGTAACTCTTGTTTATTCTTTGAGTCTCCCTGAAACATTATTTCCTGCAAGAGGTCCCCTGCCCCTTTTCTCTTCCACAGCATCCTGTATGACTTCGATAATGTGATGTCTGCCTCCTCCTCTCCACGTGGAAGGGGGCCAGGTCTGTTTGGTCTGTGATTGTGTGCCCCTCCCTAGCTCTGAGGCTCAGAGCCCGGCACGCAGCAGGCACGGGTCACATGTGTGGTAAAGGAGGGAGGCAACAGGGTTCTCCCATTACACCATGACAAGGAACAAAGAATTGTATGTTCCAGGGGTGAACTCAGGTTTTGTGGGGCCCGAAGGGTAGACTTAAGAAGCTTTCTTATTTAAGAAAAATACAAAATTACAAGAACAAAATTAGACAGGAAAGTGCACCTTTATGTAGATTGGGAAAAGAGATAACCACAACTTGTAAAACTTTTAGAGTGGAAGAATACTTCAAGTATCACAAAATATAGAAAAATAATATCATGTTTTTGTTAGCTAACTGCCTAGCACACTGCAGGAAGTCTTTCTCCACATTATTTGGCTGAATAATACTCTTTTTATCACTCTTCATCTGTAACGATTTTATAATACTTTCTATATAGAGAATGGAATGAGAAGTAAGTCCTCTGGCATAATAAAAATTATGTTTATGATTGATGGTTGGGAGGCATAAAAACGTGTGACCACAGCCAGGCATACTTGTTTGTAGGACTGCTACGGTTTCTATTCTACAAACACAGGGATTCTGACAAATTCTTTTCGGCATTTTAAAAAGGGGGGAAAAAGGAACGCACATGATAGTATCTCCGCATTACTCGATATAGGACTAGGTATCAGTGAGAACCGAATTGTGTACTAACAACCTTATGCATCTGACGACTGGAAGAACTTCCTATGGACTAGCTTCTGCCTGTATACAGTTCGAATCTTGTTTCTCCTCTATTACCCACATGCTTCCAGGGCCAGGTTCCATGGGACACTCACAAATCTCATTTGGTCTTTGGCCCTGTATTAAGTGTCACGATGCCAGGTAAGTTGGCACCATGGGCAGTAAGAGTGTTCCTGGGAGTTCAAGACCATCCTGGCCAATATGGTGAAACCCCGTCTCTACTAAAAATACTAAGATTAGCCGGGTGTGGTGGCAGGCACCTGTAGTCCCAGCTACTCAGGACGCTGAGGCAGGAGAATCACTTGAACCCAGGAGGTGGAGGTTACAGTGAGCTGAGATCAGGCCACTGCACTCCAGCCTGGGTGACAGAGTGAGACTCTGCCTAAAAAAAAAAAAAAAAAAAGAAAAAGAAAAAAGAAAAAGAGTGCTCCTGGGAGCCATTTCTGCACTGAGATGGTTAGCAAAAACCAACTTTACACAAAAGTGACAAAATGACTGCAAACAACCTAGATATGTCCCATAAAACAACTATATCCCTAACTTAACTTCCCCCTAGCCAGATCCCAAAAATGTCCATGGCCACTTCGGTTCTGGGCAACATGAGGAGGCGTGTGACAAAGGGAAGGTCTGAGTGGAAAGAGATAGCAGTCTTAACTGAGTTCAGTTTGGCAAGTTTCACAAAACAGGATCGCCGCAGACACATTACGAGGGCCCCCTTCAGAACTGTCCTAAGGGGTGGCCCTAAAGCTTAAGCTTTGTTAACTTCATAGTAAATTTGCCTCTGCCTGTATCGTATTTATTACTATGTGTGACCCCTGGCACCATGCCTGGCACACAGTAGTTGCTTAATAAATATATGCTGAGTGAGGAAAAGTGTTGCTTGGCCTCATTACCCAGGAGATAGTCTCTTTCCCCAGTAGATCTCATCGCTTTGTTTAAAAGCTGGGACTCAGATAGTTGAGTAGACTTATTGGAGGCACTGGGAGCGGAAAGAGACCACTTGGTGGGATAAACTTTCCCATCTCCTCATCACCGGGCAAGTAAGCCAATGCCAACACATCGGCTGCCCTCATTAGCAGTGAAGCAGCCCTGGCTGCCCTCCTGGGGTCATTCTAATTGGCTCCAATCAGAGAAAGCCAGGTCTGGGCTTTATTAACAGTGACAGCAGCTCTACCGTTAGAAGAGTAGGTAGAAAGGTCACACTGGAAACAGCATTTCCAAGCACAGAGTAATTACACACAGCTCATTCTGGCTTTCACAGCTATGCTGAGGAATCTTTATTTATCCAGCCCTGCTGATAGTGGCCTTCCGGCTTCCTGCTTCCATTTTCTTCCTTGTTGTGAGATGGTTGAACTTCAGGGTCCCACATATGTTTTTTCCATTTTTTTTTTTTTTTTTGAAACAGAGTCTTGCTTTGTCACCAGGCTGAAGTGCAGTAGTGTGATCTCAGCTCACTGCAACCTCTGCCTCCTGGGTTCAAGTGTGCCTCAGCCTCCTGAGTAGCTGGGATTACAGGTGCATGCGCCACCGCACCTGGCTGATTTCTGTATTTTTAGTAGAGTTAGGGTTTCACCATATTGGTCTCGATCTCTTGACCTCTTGATCCGCCCACCTTGGCCTCCCAAAGTGCTGGGATTACAGGCATGAGCCACCACGTCCGGCTCACATTTTTCTTCATGGCCTTGAGTCCAGCAAGAAGAAAAAGCCTGGATTCCTAAGGGTCTGACTCTAGGGGTCTCCGGTACTGAAGAATTCGAATCTAGCATTCTAGGGTAAGGAGAGTAGGCTATGTTCTAGACGAGCATAAGTCTTTAGAGGACCGTGGTTGAAAGGTCTGGTGACTGAGAAGCAAAAACACTTCACACTCTAGCAGCCACTCGGCACATCCACCTTGTCTGCTGCTCTCTCCGCGGAATCTTCTCGGACTCCCGGGCAGTGAGCCACTCCTCTGTGCTCCCACAACATGGGGCTCATGTCTCTATGACACGACTCACGGCACTGTCTTTCATTTCTTAGCTTAGCCACCTGTCTTCCAAGATGGACTGCCAGCAACTCAAGGGCACGAACAAGTCTCATTCATATTTATAGTTTTGGTTTATTTCCTAAGCACAGGGCCCAGCACTTGGTACATATTGACTGACTGTCCAAAGAAGGGAGTGGAAGACATTGGTAATCAGATGAACCAGGAGTTTCCAGATAGCTGAACACATGGAAGTTCCTGGAGGGTGGTGCACCCAGGGAGGGCACGGAAGCTCCATGCTCCTTCCCCAAAACCTCGCTCTTGTGTCTCTTCATCTATGTCCTTTATAACAAACCAGTAAACATAAGGTCTATAAGAAAGTAATAGGGTTAAGTGTGGTCATAAGTGCAGCGCCTCATCCCATAGGACTGTTGTCCTCATAAGCAGAGAAAGAGACACCATGAAACCTTCTCTCCACACAAGCATAGCAAAGAGGGCATATAAGGACACAGTCAGAAGGCAGCCACCCACGATGAGGGATGAGGGACCTCATCAGAAACCAACGCTGGTGGCGCATTGATGTTCGATCTAGCCTCAAGAACCGTGAGAAAATAAATTACTGAGTTGTTTTTTTCTGAGACAGAGTATTGCTCTTCTTGCCCAGGCTGGAGCCCAATGGCACAATCTCAGCTCACTGCAACTTCCACCTCCTGGTTTCAAGCGATTCTCCTGCCTCAGCCTCCCAAGTAGCTGGGATTACAGGTGCCCACTACCACACCTGGCTAATTTTTTTTTTTTTAAGTAGAGATGGGGTTTCACCATCTTGGCCAGGCTGCTCTTGAACTCCTCACCTCGTGATCCGCCTATCTTGGCCTTCCAAAGTGCTGAGATTACAGGGATGAGCCACTGAGCCTGGCCTCTTTTTTTCTTTCTTTCTAAAAAAGATGAACTTGTGTGGGCATAGAGTTTTACAGTAGAAATAGCATGTCTAAGAGGTTAAGTTTGGTCTTGGGAGTAAACTGGTTCAAATTCCAGTTCCACCACTATTTTAATGAGAATTAGGTTTGGCTATAAATGACTGAAACCCCAAAACAATAGCGGCTTAAGCAAGTTAGATGTTTACTTTTCTCTTTCACGTAGAATTCTGGAAGTGGCCACCTCAGGACTCCCAAGTTAGCTCCAGCGTGTCCTGGGGGACTCAGGCTCCTGCTCTTTTGCAGCTCTGCTGTTAATAGCCTTGGTCCCATCTTGGCACTGGGTGGCACCCTCCAGCTCAAGCTGTCATGTCTGCATTTCACCAGCGGAGGGAAGGCTCAGAGTTCTAGGAAGTTGCACATACCTATCCTGTTGTCCTCAATTTAGTCACGTGGACACCTAGCTTCAACAGAGTCTGGAGGATGTAGTTATAACTCTAGCAGGCCACATGCTTAGCTAAAAATGAGGATCTATTACTGTACAAGAAGGAGAAATTCGATTTTAGAGAAAAATAGTCTCTGTCATACTCACTAGCTATGTGACTTTGGGAAAATGAATGAATCTCTCTGATTCTCAGTTTCCTCGTTCAAGAGATAGAGGAATGCAAGCAAACACCTTGGCAAAGTGCCTTGCATTGCTGGAGGGCTGAGCTATTATTATTTTCCTTTGGTTGTGGCTAGGCTGGCAGGAGGTGGTATCCCTCACAGGGAGCATGTACACTTAAGCCTGCCTGAATCTGAGTTTTTATTTGTGACTTGGGGTTTGTTACGTCTGCGTTTTGAGCACTGTTCTCATAATGGAGTTTCCTGATTTGGGGAAGTATTGTTCAGAAAAAACTTGCAAGCAGCTAGATTTTCTTCCAGTAAAATGTGATACGTGTAAACAAGATTTCTGTAAAGATCATTTTATATATGCCGCACATAAGTGTCCATTTGCATTCCAGAAGGATGTTCAGGTTCCAGTGTGCCCACTCTGTAATATCCCCATCCCAATAAAAAAGGGACAGATCCTAGCCCTGGTGGTTGGCGATCATATGGATAGAGACTGTGACTATTGTCCTGGGAAGAAGAAAGAGAAGATTTTTATATACCGGTGCTCAAAAGAGGGCTGCAAGAAGAAAGAGATGCTGCAGATGGTGTGTGCCCAGTGTCACGACAACTTCTGGATCCAGCACAGACACCCCCTGGACCACAGCTGCAGACACAGGAGCCGCCACACCATCAAAGCCAGGTGAGAAGAGACTCAGCTGTGATTGCGCTGTCTCAGAACACATGGTAGCGTACTGGAACCAGCTTACACTCTAAAGTGCGGAGTGGAGCAACACTCAGCACCGGCCCACACTAAGCTGCTGATCTTAACTGTTTGTTGAGGTAGACGGGAATATAATAAAATTGAATGCTGAAGTTGAAAAAAACACACACACAAGATTCTGCACGTTAGTTTTCTCATTTATAGAATGGAGGCAACAATAACCCTTTCTTTACAGAGTTCTTGTGAGGATTATTTGCGATATTGTATGTAAAGCATTTCGTAGAGTACTGAGCAAGTGACTCTGTCACTACTGGCTTATTCTATTATTAGTAGTCAAGACAAACCTGGAGTGACCTTGAGATCGACCATCAAGAGGATGCTGGAGAAAGTTCCATAAGATTCAGACTCCAAAATTCAACTCATTCTAAGGGGCGGGACTGTTGCTGTAACCAGGAGGCAATAAATTAACTTGGCCCACAGTGACTGTGTTAGTACGCTTGCATCTTGAATTCTCTCCAAATAGAGCTAACCTCAAAGGCAACGGGAACATCTTCTGCCTTCCTGCAGATTTTCACTCCCCAGCAATTCTCATCTACAGGGTGCCTTCCCCAAAGGGCTAAGGCAAGAAGCACCAGGATTAGGAGTCCTAAAAGTCAGAAGGCATTTCTGGCCCCAGCAGGACCTGGAAGGCTGTGCCCAGGCTGTGTATAGGCTGGGAAAGCCTGTCCCCTCAGGCAGAAGTTGCAAAAGAGCAGAAAATAGCCAAGATCAGGTGAGCCAGAGTTCAGCTTGATGAAACGAACAAAACACACTATTTCTCTTTAGCTCGGGCTCCTGGGATTAGCCGTTAGGTCCCCAGAGTACACTAGGTGTTTATTCTCGCTTCGAGGAATAGGAAGGGTCGGAGGCACAAGGCCTCTCCCGGTAGATCCTTGTTGCTTCTACTTCTTGCAGAAGCCAAACTGGGACCCTCTGCCATGTGCCCTTCATGTTCACAGGCTGCTTCTCAATTCAGCCCCAGCTGAGCAACTGCCAGGGGTCCCTGAGAGACGGGAAAGACTGGGTGGGAAATGGATGATAGCAACCCTGCTGGTTCCCAGGCTTCCAGGCTCCCAGGGAACCCTTCCCACTCAGCGCAACTGACCACCACGCTGACTGCTCCATCAGTTCCCATGGCTGCTGGGCAACCCATCTGTAAAGGAAACTCCTGTTTGATCCCGGAACATTCCCACCTAAATCACAAATCTGCTGTTCTTCTGCAGTCTGCGAAGAGGATGTATCATCTGAAGCGAAAAATTGGAAACAACCTAAATCGCGAAGGAAAGGAGATGGGTTGCACAGATGATAGTGCCAACATTTCAAGTAATATTATGTGGCCATTAAAGCATTTAATCATGAGGATTATGTGGTGACTTGGAAAAGTGCTTATGACATTAAGTGAAAATATAAAGTCTCATCTCTGCCATGAGTGCAGTGGTAAAAACTGTACGTACATCTGGGTAAAGAAAAATACACCAAAAAAAAGGAAAGAAAAAATGGGGTGGGAGGATGGTGGGTCCAATGTCCCCTTTCATGTATTCTGGTAGCTGTTCCTGCTGTTTGTGCACTAAGAAAATCATTTTAAAATCTTGCTCACTAACCTATCGTACACGTTCACCTTCCCCCAAGGAGGAAGAAACCTCATCCACTGAAATTTGCTAGTGTAGCCCCTCTGCTTATTTTGATATCAACTTTTCAATCAATATTTTCAGGAAAAGATATGACCGTTTTAAGTTGAAAGCAAATCACAGATGAACTCAGTCCCCTGGTCAATTCTCCTCCCAGGAGGTGGTGATAGTTAAAATCAGCTCCTTAAGGGCCAAATCAGTCCCACTCCTGCAGTGAGGACTGTAAACAACTTAGATTCTTCAGGTGCTCAGCGTTTGAATTCCTGGGCCACCTGCGGCAGACTCACCTGAAGTAGACATTAGAGGTGGGGCTGGTTACTGTTCGGGCACCAGGAACAAAGCTACTCAAAAATCCTTACTCTTTGAATCTGAGTGAATCCCGAGTGAACAGGAAAAATAAGAAAACATCACTTAACAATGACCCAGAGTTTCAGGAGTCATTTTAATACCATCCTTGCCACGAACTCATTGTGTAAGGCTAAGCGCATCACTCAACCACTCTCCAGATTAAGGGAACGGATTGTAACCTGCCTATAAATGGCTGATGGGCAGAAAACCATGAAAAAACAATGGCGCTGAGCACTTTGCAAATAGGAAACCGAGTCCATTTGAAAGAACCTGGGATCTGGGTCAGAAAGTCTGGATCCAAGCCAAGGATCTGCCATACATGAACACTGGGACTTCAGGATATTCGTTTCTGAGTCTGTTTCCTCATCAGTAAAATGGGGATAAGACTCTAAGCACTGGATTGTTGTGACATTTAAGTGCGTTTATGAGAAAAAGTTTTGTAAATTGTAAAGCACATGTATGAGTTGGTTATGGTTGTCATAATAAAATTCCACAGACTGTGTGGTTTAAACAACAGAAATTAATTTTTTTCTTTTTTTGAGACAAAGTCTCACTCTTGTCGCCCGGGCTGACTGCAATGGTGTGATCTCAGCTCAATGCAACCTCTGCCTCCGGGTTCAAGTGATTCTCCTGCCTCAGCCTCCTGAGTAGCTGGGATTACAAGCATGCACTATCAGGCCTGGCTAATTTTTTTTTATATTTTTAGTAGAGACAGGCTTTCGCCATGTTGGTCAGGCTGGTCTCGAACTCCTGACCTTGTGATCTGCCCGCCTTCGCCTCCCAAAGTGCTGGGATTACAGGCATGAGCTGCTGTGCCCAGCTCTTTTTTCTTCCCCTCACCACCCCCTGCAATTTGCGAAGCCGGAAGCCTGAGATTAAGGTGTCAGCAGGGCTGGTTTCTTGTGAGGCCTCTCCTTGGCTTACCGGCAGCCACCTTCTCTGTGTCTTCCCATGATCTTTCTCCATGTGTGTCTGTGTCCTAGTCTCCCCTCTGTATAGGACACCCGTCATATAGAATCAGGGCCCACCCAAATGACCCCAGTTTAACTTAATTCCTTCCTAGAAGACCCATCTCCAACTACAGACATATTTGATTTGCTTTATTGTACTTGGTTTTATTATGCTTCACAGAAAGTGCTTTTTTCGTGACTAGAGGCTTTGTGGCAACCCTGCATCGAGCAAGTCTCTTGGCATCATTTTTCCAAATACGCGTGCTCACTTCATGGCTTTGTGTCACATGTGGGTAATTCTCATAATATTTCAGACTTGTTCATTATTATTTCTGTTATAACCATCTATGAAATGTGATTACTTGATGTTCCTATTATAATTGTTTTAGGGTGCCATGGACTGTACCCATATAAAAATAGCAAACTTAATTGATGGATTTGTGTGTTCTGATTGTTCCACTGACTGGCTCTTCCCCAGTAGCTCCCTTTCCTTCGGCCTCCCTGTTCCCTGTGACACAATATTATTAAAATTCGGCCAATTACTCATCCTAATATGACTTCTAAGTGTTCAAGTGAAAGGAAGAGTTGCATGTCTCTCAACCAAAAGCCAGAAAAGGATTACACTTACTGAGGAAGACATGTCAAAAGCTGAGACAGGTCAAAAGCTAGGCCTTTTGGGCCAAACAGTTAACCAAGTTGTGAGTGCAAAGGAAAAGTTCTTGAAGGAAATTTGAAGTGCTAGTCCAGTGAACACACAAATGTTAAGAAAGCAAAACAGCCTTATTGCTGATACGGAGAAAGTTTGAGTGGTCTGCATAGAGGATCAACCAGTTACAACATTCCCTTAAGCCAAAGCCTAATCTAGAGCAAGGTCCTAACTCTTTTCCATTCTGTGAAGGCTAAGAGAGCTGAGGAAGATGCAGAAGAAAAGTCTGAAGCTAGCAGAGGTTGTTTCATGAGATTTCAGGAAGGAAGCCATCTCTAAAACATAAACGTTCAAGGGGAAGCAGCAAGTGCTGATGTAGAAGCTGCAGCAACTTACCAGAAGATCTGGCTGAGATTATTGATGAAGGGGCCTACATTAAACAACAGATTTTCAGTATAGATGAAACAGTCTTATATTAGAAGATGACATCTAGAACTTTCATAGCTGGAAAGGAGAAGTCAATGCCTGGTTTCAGAGTTTCAAAGGATGTGCTGATTCTCTTACTAGGGGCTATGTATCTAGTGACTTTAAGTTAAAGCCAGTGCTTATTTACCATTCCATAAGTCCTAGGGCCTTTGAGAATTATGCTGATTCTACTCTGCCTATGCTCTGTCACATGGACAATAAAGCCTGGATGACAGTGTATTTGTTTATAGCATGGTTTACTGAATACAGTTGACCCATGAACAATCCAGAGGTTAGTGGCACTGACCCTCACCAAGGTCAAAATTTGTGGATAACTTTTGACTCCTCCAAACTTAAGTACTAATAGTTTACTGTTGACCAGAAGTCTTACCAATAAAATAGTCAATTAATCCATATTTTGTCTATGTGTTACATACTGTATTCTTACAACAGATTAAGCTAAAGAAAATAAAATGTTAGTAAGAACATAATAAGAAAGAGGAAATGTGTTTATTATTCATGAAGATAGAAGTGGATCATCATAAAGGTCTTCATCCTTGTTGTCTTCATGATAAGTAGGCTGAGGAGGGATAAAAGGTTGGTATTGCTGTCTCAGAGGTGGCAGAGGTAGATGGTAAGGCAGAAGAGGAAGGCACACTCAGTGTAAGTTTTATTGAAAAAAAAATCCATACATAAGTGGACCTGCATATTTCAAACCTGTGTTGTTCAAGGGTCAATTGTATTTTAAGTCCACTGTTGCGAACTACTGCTCAGAAAAAAAAGATTTCTTTCCAAATATTACTGTTCATTGACAATGCACCTTGTCATTCAAGATCTCTGATACGGATGTACAAGGAGATTAATATCGTTTTTATGTTTGCCAACACAACATCTATTCTGCAGCTCATCAATCAAGGAATAATTTTCACTTTCAAGTCTTGTAATTTAAGAAATACATTTTGTAAGGCTATAGCTGCCACAAATAGTGATTCCTCTGATGGACCTGGGCAAAGTAAAATTGAAAATCTTCTGAAAAGGATTCACCATTCTAGATGTCACTAAGAACATTTGTGATTCATGGGAGGAG